TTCTGGTAGTGTACTTGAAGAGACAGAGGGTAAGAACTGTACAGCGAGCCCTAAAAATGGGAAACATGCGATCGGAAGCATGGTGAAATATGAGTGCAAGGAGTACCATATACTCAGAGGTCCACAAGTTCGCATATGTGGAGAGAATGGAGAATGGGATGGGAAAAGTCCTTTTTGTGAACCTGGTTAGATTATTATCATTTCTTCCTGACAAGATCGCTCTAAAACGCTTCTCGATTCGACTACGCACTTTGCCCTGCATCCCCAGAATGTGGAAAGAGTGTGCAGCGAGTGTTGCCAGAAGGCGGGAAACCTTTTGAAAATCGGAACTATATATGGCAAGCAACAATTTATGGCATGGAGGAGAAACACATCATCTGCGGAGGGGCGCTCATTCAGAAGCAATGGGTGCTCACCGCAGCTCATTGCGCCGTCGTTGACGGTTCTCCAAGGACTCGGAAGGAGAGGGAATTACTTGTATATCTCGGAAAATATCATCAAAACAACTCAATGGATGACGAATTCGTCCAGATCAGACAGGTAACGTGTCGCATAAGTTCCCGTTCATTTTTGCACTGAATGTATGCTTTAGATCAAATTAACGATCATGCTCCTTTTTCAGGTGTCTAAGATTGTCGTTCATGAGGATTTCAACTTTGAGAACTATGACTCCGACATTGCTCTTTTGAAACTGACGGAACCGGCTGAGTTGACCTTGCGAGTTCAGTTGGTATGTCTTCCATCAGAGACAAATTTCGAAGTAGAAAATCGAGGAAAGGTTAGCCTTTAGTTTTAGAATTCTGGAACTTTTATTCTCATGTTTTTTTTGCCATTGATGCATGCAATTTCATATTGTGTATTCGCAGGTAGCTAGTTGGGGTTCTAACATATTAGAAAAACGTTCTGCAGTGTTGATGGAAATGGAACTGCCTATAATATCAAATGCCAATTGTCGCCAGAACACAATATATATGACAGGGGACAACACTCCCACCCATTCCCTTACCTCTAACATGTTCTGTGCGGGTCATGACAATGCGACTCCTCTTGAAGGTAAGCTTACACCAGACGTCCCTTTCCACATCTTCGTAAAATGGACTATCCCTAATAAGAGTGGGTTCTCAGAACATCGAACGGTATGCCCTGGAGATTCCGGGAATCCCATGGTCTTCTGCTCTAAGGAAATTTCATGCCAGGTAGTTGGGATCGTGAGTCACTTTTTCGAAGAAATTGAGTGCTCTTTAAGACGCCCAGGTCAATACAGCATTTTCACCAAAGTGAATCGGTGAGGTGTCGTTTCTTTCCCTGTCCTTCCTACTTCATTTTTCTGTCTTCCTTTTTCCCATCTGTTGCTGCTATATGCTGGTCCTATTGTGTCCTTTTCCAATAGGTTCCTTTCATGGATCAAAATTAAGATGGGAGAAAATGAATTCTGAAGACCCTCTCCTGATACGAACGCCGTAGCACCTCTGAAAATGGGATATATTGCCTGAAACATTTGGCCTCCAGATATACTATTTATAGATATGAAATGGATATCAGACATGTAGGCATTTGCTGCTGTCTCCCAGCACCAATCATTACACAAAGCGATTATGAAAACAAAGAATGGTCATCGTAGAGGGACAGTAGTCATGCTGTCGTGCTGGTGCAAAATTAACGGCGACGGAATCATTATCTTGCGTTTACAAAAATGTGTTGTACCTTTCTACAAAATATTCCAGCTGACTCTTCCCTCGTTTACGTGCAGTGGATGATCTTACAAAAAGGAGAATATGCTATGTTGCAGGTTTCCAGATAAGGAAGAATGTCCCTTTCTTTCCAAGCAGAATTCAAGAGAACTAGCTACTACCAGTGAAACATTCATGTCTTCGTTTTTTATGTTAATTGACTTCTGTTCCATGACGTTCAAATGAAACACGTCACCGGAATTTAGAACAGCTTTATTTTGGATCAATTTTGTTTGGTGCGTCCCACTCACTCCCACTTTCATAAATTCATAAAAAATTTCTCTATATACTAAGTTCAGCTGAGTTCCATCAGGCCATTGGATGAGGCTAGACTTTCTGGCATGTACAGAATGCGGATCTTCTCTATTGGACCGAACTACTCCGCGGATCGGACGGGCAGCTCGGCAATCAAGTTTCCTATTGGGTGCAGGCGAAAACGCTATGAGAGGGTCCTTTTTCTTCAACCGCTTAGAGCTTTTGGCAAAAAATACACCTCATTCCGTCATGGGATAGCTGGAGGGTTTCGTGGAGTCAGCAGAGTCGCTAAGAAGGAAGACGTATTCAGAGACTTCGAGTCCTCGGACTCAGAGGCCTAAGCGGGCTGCGGGCCGGCATGACAGGGCCCAGCCCGCAGCCCGCTTTCGAACCCGACCCGTGAGTCGGGTCCGTAAAGCTCGGCTCCACGAGTTTCGGGTCGGGTGGAGCCGCGATTCGAATAGGGCCGATCGGGTCGGGTTCGAAAAAGCAAGCCGTGAAGGGCTCCGGTGGAAAAACAAACGTTAGCTTGTAGTACATAGATAGGAATGGTCAATATGGACATTGAATCAATCCCATATTGTCTGCAATATACCAACCGATATCAGGATATTGTATAATTCTTAATATATAATTGAATTTACGAAAATCCCCAGTTTTCAGTTAAAAATAACATTCACCTGTGCACACTTGGCGAAAACATCATTACAATTTTAACTGATAATGTGAGAGCCTAATTTGCTTTCCCAGGAAGCCCAACCCATGAGAAAAAATTACAGAGGTTCTGATACAATTTTTCAAAAAATCCTATACTTTAATTCGAAAAGATC